AACCCCATTCAAATTATTCAGGCCCCTACATTAGCCTATTAGGGTTGAGGGTTTGGGGTTAAGGGTTTAGGGTTCGGGGTTTAAGGTTTGGGGCTCGGGGTACAGGGTTGAGGGTTTAAGTTAGCATATCGGTTTTTTTAGGTTAAGACCCTAAACCGAAGGGCTCGGGCCCTAGCACAAAAACTAGAGGACTGAACTGAACCCTGTACCGAAAGTGGCGCGAAACATGGAAAGTAATAAAAGAAATCCTCAGCGGTGACCGGGAACTTCTTGTCTTTGGAGGCGTGGTTCGTGAAGTTTGGGGGGTAGGGTTGAGGATGGTTTGTGAGTTAAGGCTGTCTGAGGGTAATGTAGGGGCCTAAATAAGTACCAATACTATTTTCGGGGGGGTTCCTTGTTCTAATTATATAGCATAACGGACCCCGAAACCGTATTCTAGTTATTCAGACCTCTATATTAGGGTTCAGGGTGTCTTGTTTGACATGGCAGTCTCGTGATTCATTTCGAGAAACCTGGGAAGATTGAAACTAACGGAAAAGCCGGAGGACTGCGCCAGGTGCGGTGAAGGCATCGTGCTTGAGGGCTGTATAATTATAGCGCTAGTCCTAGAAGGCTGAATACTTACCTTTATTATTCCTTAGGGTTCCTTTATATAGTTATAGTTATAGTATAATAAACCCCGAAACCTACTCTAATTATTAAGGCCCCTATATTATTAGCTTAACATAGCACCTTTTTGTGTAGGGCTTGGCTTTTGAGTTTAGGGCTCCTGGTCATCATATCTATATCTATCATAACTTAGATCATGTTGTAGTCACCCGCGAAACCGACTTATACGCTGATGTGCCTCTCGCGACCCTCCAGAACCCTTAACCCTAACGTCTCAACCCCTGAACCCTAAGGCCTAAGCCACTACACCCCTGAACAAAACCCTAAAATGTAACCAAGAAACTGAGTCCAAAAATTCGTTCCCTTACAAGTATGTAGCGACCTTTGCTTTGATCTCCACAACCTAAGCTCTAATGCTTCAACCTTAAGCTCCCTAAACCCCAAGGCTTGCTAGGCCCCGCAGGCCCGGAAAACCTTGATAGAACCCCGAAGCCCGAAACAGCCCTAAGCACACTAAACCCTCCAGCATCCTAAAGCGTTTTAGAAAAGCCCAGGACACCCTAACCGTTTAGGGTTTAGGGCTAAACCCATCTAAACCCTACAGCCCTCAACCCTAAACCCTAAACCCTCCACCCAAAAACCCTAAACTCTAAACCCAAGGCCCCTAAACCCTCAACCCCTAAACCCTAAACCCTAAGCCCCTAAACCCTCAACTAAAACCCCAACCCTGTGGCCAAAAAACAGATCCTGCCCTCATCATCCCAGAGAGCCCAATACACCTTAAATAAGGAATATACCTTAAAACATAGGGGCCTTAATATTATGATTTATCAAATATTCCTAAACCCTAAACCCTAAAAGCCAAAAAAACCTAAAAACCGCAAACCCTAAACCTTAATAATTAATAGTGCTAACCCTATAAAGATGTATATATATATATATATGTAGAGAGAGAGAGATATATATATATATATTCCTTAATTAAGGGGTATTGAGATCTCTGGGATCTTGGAGGCGCAGTCGCAGCCTCCCAGCGAAGCCTCAGGTCGGCAGATGCGTTGCGTTGCTGGAAGTTTTGGGGCTTAGCTTAGGGGCTTAGGGCTTAGATGGGTTTCGGGTTTAGGGTTTTAGGGTTCAGGGTTTAGGTTGTAGCGTTGTCGAAAGTTTTGGGGCTCAGGGGCTTTGGGTTTTGGGGTTGAGGGGCTTTGGGGCTTAGGGGTTTTGGGGTTTAGAGTCTAGGGTTTTAAGGTTGCGTTGTCGAAAGTTTTGGGGCTTTTAGGGTTTCGATGGTTTAGGGTTTTAGGGTTTAGGGTTTAAAGCTTTAGGGGCTTAGGGTTTAGATGGTTTAGGGCTTAAGTTGTGGGTTTCGGGGCTTAGGTTTTAATTAGGTTTTAGGGTTTAGGCAGCAGTTGAGGGCTTTTGGGTTTAGATGGCTTAGGGAGTTTAGGGTTTACGGCCAAACCCTAAACCCAAACCCTGAACTGTAGTTTGGGGTCGAGGGCGTTAGGGTGTATAGGGTGTAGATGGCTTAGGGAGTTCAGGGTTTCGGGGCTTAGGGTTTGAGGGTTTAGGGAGCTTAGGGTGCAGGAGTTGAGGGTTTAGGGGTTTGGGGGTGGAGGGTTTAGGGTTTAGGAAGGGGAGGGGTTGAGGGTTTAGGGAGTTTAGGGTTGACGGTCTTGGTTTGAGGGCTTATAGGGAGTTTTGGGGGTTTAGATGGGTTTAGGGTTGAGGGTGTACGGGCTTAGGGGCTTAGGGGCTTCGGGCTCAGGGCTTAGAGACTCTAGAGTGTAGGGCTTAGGGTTTGGTTGAGGGAGTTTCTAGTGTTCTCTGACGGTTCTATACGCGTTTCGTGAAGCTTCTGTAAGGGTTCCGGTGGGGCATATAACTGTTTCTGGCGAAACTGTGGTGTAATTGAGGGGCCTGACTAGTGAGCAACAGTATTCTAGTATTCATTGGTGCTCCGTAACCCTAAACTCTATAGTACGGCCTTTACTTGTTAAGCGCCAGAGTCTTCTTGTGACCGAAAGTAAACCCTGAGGAGAACATGCCGACCCAGGGCTTTGGTTTCTTTTGGGGGTGTAATGTAGGGGCCTAAATAACTACCAATACTATCTTTGGGGTCCTTACTGTCATTATAACTATATGGTACTGGCCCCCCAAAGCCTTATTCTAATTCTTAAGGCCCCTAGATTGCCGGGTTTAGGGTTTAGGGTGGTTTAGGTTTTGAAGTTTGGGGGTGTCATAGTAGTCCCTACAGGCCTTGGGGCTCCCTAAGATATTGACGCGTATTTTAGACCGGAGACAATCCGGCAAAGGCTTCAGAATTGCTGGGCGACAAATATGCGGCCGGTGAGAAGGCTACAGTGCTGTGTTGAAGTGCTCGGAAACGCACGAGTCCGGGCGGCCGTCATTGCGCAAGCAGCAAGCCTCGGGGCCGGCAACGGCTAGCTTCATGGAGTTATTGTCCACCATGGACATTGACGACCTGAAGGACTTGAATGGATGCACACACCACGTTTGGGTATGTTTGCCCTCGGCCCAGGCCAAGAACGCCCCGCAAACATCATCGCACCCTGGCTCACTCAAGTGAGCAAGGAAGCCTTGCTTCGCGCGATGCGAACCCTTGACGTGTACAAGGAAATCGTGGCGAGGGTTGGGAAACGCGCCCAGGAAACTTGGCCAGGGTTTCAGCAGCGAGCGTGGCGAGGGGCAAGACAAGTTGTGTGGACTCACCTTGGCAGGAGATGGTCGTCGGCCTGGCTGGATCGCTGGTCCTGAACCCTAAACCATAAAGGCTAAACTTGCTAAACCCTAACCCCTTAAACCCTAATCCATGAACCCGAAGCCCTAAACCATGAACCCTAAACCATAAAGGCCAAACCCCTAAACCCTAAACCATGAACCCTAAACCATAAAGGCTAAACCCCTAAACCCCTAAACCCCAAAACCTCTAAACCCTAATCCATGAACCCCAATCCCTAAGCCATAAAGGCTAAAACCTAAACCCCTAAACCCTAAACCCTAAATCCTGTAAACCCTAAGCCGTTGATGTCGCAGGTCCTTCGGTGCCCGCTACGCCGACGAGGCTTCAGGCCCTTGGCTCCCCGAACTCTTCGGACTTGGCTCGGGCTTAGGGCTTAGGGTTTTGGGTTTGAGTGTTTAGGGCTTTGGGTTTAGAGCTTGAGCTTGGGGTTTCAGGTTTACGGTGTAGGGCTTAGGGTTTTGGGTTTTAAGGTTTTGGGCTTAGGGTTTAGGGTGTATAGGGTTTAGGGTTTATGGGTTTAGGGTTTTGGGTTTTAAGGTTTTGGGCTTAGGGCTTCGGGTTTAGGGTTTTAGGTTTAGGGTTTTGGGTTTAAGGTTCTGGGTTTAGGGGATGAGGGTTTAGGGTTTAGGGCTTATAAACGGTTTAGGGCTTAGGGTTGAGTGCCTACCTCATCCTAGCAGAGCCGAAGGATGCCTAAGCTCTTCAGTTTTGCAACTGTACAGGCAGAGCCTACTTGTTGTTTAGGGTTTAGGGTGGCGCGAGGGTATTCGGGTTGGGGTTCGCGTTTTGAGGGTTTAGGGTTCGGGAGAGATTCGGGTTTGGGATTTAGGGTAAATCCTCAAGACAACTTGCAGAAAATCGTAGAGAGAAAACCCTAGCGGAGCGCATGTCATTCGCGATTTGCTGGCCTTGAGCTCTACTTACCGACAGCGCGAGATGTTTTTGTTGTTGGGTTTAGGCTTCGCTTAGATTTTGGTTTGTTGGGTTTAGTGCTTGTGAGGGTTTTTGTAGGGCTTAGGGCTTTCTAGGTTGTAGGGTGTGTTTAGATCAGTTGTTGGGTGTATGGCGTGTTTACATGCTGTTGCAGATGTTGGGTTGAGTGTTTGTTTAGATTCAGTTTGGATTTGCTTGTTGGGTCTGGGGTGTGCTTATGATGTCGTTGATTGGGTTTAGGGTTTAGGGTTTTGGGTTTAGAGCCAGGGTTTCGGGGGCCAGGGTGTGTGGATGATGTGAACCTCTAAGCCTGCCGCAGGAGCGTAAACCAGGATGGCCCCAAATCCCAAGTACAGGACTGAACGCCGCTCCTAAAGAGGATATAAAAGGAACTAATATGGGGCCTATGTGTAAACCCTTCAATGAGATGAGCAGTCAAGCTCAAGAGGTCACTGCAGTCAGATTTTCTCAGGCAGCGCTCATGTACCGGTTTCGTCCTTCGTGGACTTGTTCAACTAGCTACCTGAGGCCTAAACTGCAGCAGAAACAAGGACAAGTTCCTTGTGGAAGCGTCTGAGTCTGTTTTTAATTAAAAACACTGGCCCACCCTCCCACCCAATGCCAGTGATGGAAAGATCAAGCTACTGTAGATGGCATTCAATGCCAATGATTGTCACGGAAATGCGTTCGAAACATATTTGGTTGAATCGTGAAAGCAATACCAGCTGTAATGTCGTACTTGAACACGTGCTTGAGAATGGGTGCATGCCTGCGGAAACATCGCTGAAGAGAACGAATGGGAACTGAACGACTGTATCGCAGCAAAGCAAACACATTCTTTTTAGGATTATGATGAAGCTGTCTGAGTGTTGAACCAAACTTCATCTTGGTGAGCTGCTTGTGAATCAAGCTCAAGATTTCACGACGAGGATGACCACGGCGAGCCATGCTGTCAACGAAGATCTGGAGATGGTGATGCAAACCGCGTGTATGCTTGTTTGTTCTCCAGAGCCGTACTGTTTCGCCTCTTACAAGGCCGCGTAGAATATGCACGGGATGACAACTGTCGCGGTGTATGTACAGATATTTGTTCAAGGGTTTCCTGAAAGTTTGCCAAGTCAGCTTACCAGCATCATGAGATAAAGCGAGATCAAGGAACGCAACAGGATGCTCATAGAAAGATGTGCGTCCACCGTGTGACGCAACTTCCCAAATGATTTCGGGTCTCCATGAGTTTTGGGTACTTCTGACGGCATCGATGTCAGCTGCACAAACAACAGAGTCATCCACTAGCCTGGCGTAGAAAGCAACAGTGTCTGCATGAGTTTGCATGACCAAGATATCAACTTCGTTGAGGTAGATGTTGGCTAAGAATACGCCTGGGGGCAATCCAGTAGCTATACCGAAAGCTTGAAAGAACTCACCTCGATGTTGTATGAATTGGTTTCGAAGGATGACGTTCAGCAACTGCACAACGAAATCAGCAATACCAGTGTGACCGTATTGCCGATAAACTGCACTGATCAGAACCTCAATCAGGTGCTCGTTGTGGATGCTTGGGTAGAGGTTCTTCACATCAATTGTGGCTAGACTGTAATTTGGTGGCACAGACTTGGGAAGGTGGTTAGACAGAAAATCCGCACTGCTGCTAACCGTGTGCTTCAGCTCATCTTGAATAGGCCGTAGCATGCTGCAAAGAAACAGGCAAGCCGGAGCCACCCAACTGCATGACATGTTGGCGATGGGACGTCCAACAATTGGACTCTTGTGGAGCTTGACTCTGAGCCTGAAGCTTCCTTCTCTGCGCTTGAAAATATTCTGTCTGAGGAATGAAGCTTCGCGTGGTTTGATAATGCGAACGTCTTGTGCATGTTGTACAACACTGTCCAAGGCACAACGTGCTCGGAAGGATCGATGGCGGTATTCTTCTGCCTCGATCTTCTGGTAACCCTCATCCAAAAGACGTTTGAGCTCGGAAGAAACCCAGCTTTTGGGCATCAGAACATCACCCAGACCTTTATCCGCATCGATAACCACAGCTTGATTCTTGTGTTTCTTCAACCATTGAACAGCTTTGTTGTCCAACCAACTCGTGTTGCGCCTGCGCGGGTATGCAGTGAAACTGTCGATGATGTCTTTTCTGAGGAGACGTCCATACCTTTCAATAGCACAGTGTTTCGGAGGCTTCCACGAAGATCTCACCGCAGGCCTCTGAATGAAAGGACGCTCGGACTCGACATTCTCGAAGAATTTCGCTACATGCAAACGCTCTTCTAATTTGGTGACGCTGTCAATGACCTCGGATAAGGAACACTCGTGCTTGTCTACCACGAACTTGCCACCCTTGTTCAAGTAGAGTAAGACATAGCCGGGAACATGAAAAGAAGAAGGCATTCGAGAATGAATGAACTCACCAGCGATCCGCGAGGACAAACTGTGCAATGATGTCCTGTATGACCTGCTGATGCAAAACTTGTAAAAGTCAATCGTCTGCAAATCTGAATTCCAGTAGCTTCTATGCTTCCATCTACTGTGGAACTTCATTTGATGGTCGGGGGGCTCAAACCGTCAAGAGGCTTGACCCCAGGAGACACGTTTGCGACTTGTTGCACGTCCTTTGCCTTTCTTGCCTTTCCCCTTACCTTTTCCTTTCCCAAAACCTCCATCATTCCTGCTCTTACCTTTGCCTTTGCTTGGGCGTCGGCTGGGGGAACGTGGAGACTTTCCATGAGACCTTCCACGTAGAGATGTCTGCGATTTCGGTCGTCGGGCACTTCGTGAAGGATGTGGCGTAGGGATTCTCGTCCTTGCGGACATGAGCTTGGGCTGGGCAGTAGAAGAAGACGAAGGATCCACGTGCTTGACGTCGAAAAATGTCTCCAAGTCGGGGAACTGCTTCACTAAGGCTGCTAGCTCGCTTCCTTTGGTAACGGTAACTTGTTTTGTTACATTGCCTCCTTTTCTGATCTGCACTGCCTGTTTGTCCAACTGGAGCAATGCAATCAATTGCTGGGGATCCATCTGCTGATACTTCGTCTCGGCTTCGATGATGGCCGCCTCACGTTTGCTGCGTATCTCGGCGGCTTCATGTAAACGGCCCTTCATCTTAGGAATTTCTTCACGCATGACCACGTTCACAAAGTGCTTGCAGTTTTTGCTCGCACGTTGTAAAGACGCCTCGGAGTGGAGAGAACCGAAACTGTCCTTCCAGGAGTTCCAAAGATCGTCTACAGACTGTTGCACACTGCTGCTGCCGGTCTTGTTTTCGAAGTAGGCCAAAGCACGTGATTGGTGTTGCATGATGAAATCCTGGCATTCCAGCGCATGTTTCCTACGCAATGCTGTCCATGCTTGGTTGATGTCATACACTTCGTCGTCGCCGTTTGGAACATCCTCTAACGGAGTGATGGGCTCGGCAATGGCTTCGTATGCTTTGGGCCACTGCCATTTGCGATTGGACTCCTCCGCAAACTGTTTCATGATCTCGCCACTCTCGCGTATCTTTTCATATTTGTCATGAAGTTCGCGTTGAGTTGCGACATGGTTCAGATCTTTGCAGAAATCGGACTTCCATTTGGACATGGCAGTTCTCAATGTGGGGTCCAACGAAGAAAGAATGCGCGATGGATCGGTGTACTCGTCTTCACCAATTTGCGATGCCGATTGTTGCCGGAGTAACGCTGTTTGTTCTTGCAACAGAGCTACTTGTCGAGCCATGAGATCCATCATGGATTGCTCTTCGGGTGCTTGTTGACGTCGTGGCCGCCCCGCAGCCGTAAAATCCCTGTCACGTGCACCTAGACCATGCTCTTCGCGGGATCTGGATCTCAGTAGTTCGCCGGCGGTTTGGAGACTGGGATGTCGTATTGGAATATGACCAGCTCCACTCGAAGGATCATCAACAGTGAACGCCATAGCGACTGCTCAATAGAAAGGACAACCACTTCAATGAGATGAGCAGTCAAGCTCAAGAGGTCACTGCAGTCAGATTTTCTCAGGCAGCGCTCATGTACCGGTTTCGTCCTTCGTGGACTTGTTCAACTAGCTACCTGAGGCCTAAACTGCAGCAGAAACAAGGACAAGTTCCTTGTGGAAGCGTCTGAGTCTGTTTTTAATTAAAAACGCCAAACAGTTTTCCTTTTCCATAGTTTTTGAACTCGACCGCAATCTGCAGAGGTCCTTATGACAGGGATCCTGAATTATACCAGCCTCGACCCCAAGCAGCAAGTGGGAGACAAATGGGAGAC